GACTATACACTCTTTGGTATTCTCCGACCACTTTATCATATTTCATTAATCGTTTCCTAGTAATTTTTGTAAGTATTTCATAAAATACTAACTTCTAATAGTGCTATACCTGTATAGTTGTTGCACTCCGTTTTGTCGCCTTTTTTATAGATTAAAAAAATAAGAGCGGTATTCCAATGTTTCAGCATTTCTTCCTTTTGTCAAACTGTTAATGTCAACGGGTATATTATTTCTTTAAGTCTTGCTCTTTTCCTTAAAAATCTGGCTCTCTTTTGGTTGCTTATAAGCCCCTTCTTCACCTTTTTGCCAATTCTCATTTCCCTTTTAGTTTTCTTTTTTTCGGTGTGTATTTCACAGTTTTTCAAAGTATTCCGCAAATCTATTTAATTTTTCTGTTATTCCTCCTAGAAGTAAACTTGCTTTATTTCTTCAACACTTTGTAATACTCTTTTTAGTATTTCTGGTTTTTTAACTTCTTGGTGGACATTTTTTATCTGTGTGTTTATGTTAGCTACTTCTATGTTTTTTAATTGCGTTCCTAGTTGTTCCTTTTGTTTTTTTTTTTTGCAAATTCTTTTAACTTCTCTTTTTGTCTATTTTAAACATTTTGTCTACATATTTATACTTTTGCCCTGTTTCTTCCTACCAAAGTATTCTTACATTCTGCTATTTGTAGTATATGATCACTGTTGGTATCTGCCCCTCTGTAATTCGTGCAATCGACTATAGCCTTATCATGTTTGTTTTCTATTTAACACCATAGCCATAAACATGTTAGTAGATGTGTTGTGGCTCATCATTGAATTTCAGCAGCTTGGATTGTTTGATCGTTTAAACCCCAATGGTCGCAGACATCTGTTACATGTACTGCCTCAGTACACTGTTTGTTGAGAAGCTTTTTTTATGATATCTATCCTTACTCTACCCATGACTCTAAAGATCTGGCGCATTGGCGTTGACCTTGAGATCTTCCTTGAAACACCAACTGTTCAATTTTGTGATCTCTTCGATGAATATGCCCAAAGATTGAATATGCTTTCTATTAGGATATGATTTGTCTGATATTTTACTTTTCTATAAAAAGAAGTAAAGTTCGTGTAACCTTCTGGCTAAGGTCTAGTGTTAGGGTTTTCAGGTAGCGCAAGCGCCCCTAACATGACTTAACGACTACTTTCCTAGCCGGGACCGACGGCTTTACGTGGCCTCCGAAGCACGGTGGCATCTCAGTTAAATTAGAAATTGAAAATTTTGTCAGTGCCGGGATTTTCTATCGGAGGAAGTCCATGTTAACGTATAAGTATGTCTTCTATGCCCAAAAGTTGTGCTAATTAAGTTTTCCTATTTTTATTTGATTCCTCATGCAAAATCGTTATATAATCATCTAGTGTAAAATCTAAGTAGAAAGAGACAATTCTGGAGATATAGTCAATTGAATCTTTAGCTTTTAAAAGAAGATACCGCAATCAAAAGTAAACGCAGTCTTAGTCGCTTCTTTACTTGTTTATTAGTGTCTCCTATCGAGAGAATATTTGTGTCATTTACGAATATAGCAAAAGTCTGTTTTCAGCCTGAAATATCACACGTATATACTGTGTATTGGATTATATAAAAACAGTTTTAACTTAAGAATTACCAGAAAGATACTGATAGCATGGTCTTAGTCATATCTTATTGGTCTCTAATAGTATCATCAACAATAAGCCAATCGCGTCCATTGCTGGACATAGGCCTCCCTCAGTTCTTTCCAGTGTTCTCTACACTGGGCCGCTTGTAGCCAGTTTCCCGCTACACGTTTTATATCATCGGTCCATCTAGTCGGTGGTCGTCCTCGGCTTCTTTTAGTTTCTGGGCCTCCATTCCATAATACGTCTTGTCCACCGTCCATCTTGTGCTCTGGCTAAGTGCCCTGCCCAGTTCCACTTAAGCGTCGTTGTTCTTTCGATGACGTCTTGAACTCCTGATCTTCGCCTGATTTGTTGGTTTGTTGTGTGGTCTCGAAGGCTCACGTTCAGCAATGCACGTTCCATGGCTCGTTGTGTAACTCTGAGTTTATTCGCAGATTTTTGCATGAGTGTTAAAGTCTCTGCTCCATAAGTTTGTACAGGTAAAACACATTGGTTATAAACCTTTCGCTTGAGACACATGGGAATTGAACTTTTTAGAATATGGCTTAATTTGCCAAATGCTGCCCAAGTTAGGCCTATTCGCCTTTGTATTTCATGTGTTTGATTGTCTCTGCTTATTTTGATTTCGTGTCCCAGATATTTGTAAGTGTCTGTTTGTTGTATGGTATTATTCTCAATAGTTATATTTCCACTTATTACGAGATTTGTTATAAGTTTAGTTTTCTCAAAGTTTATCTTTAATCCTGCTCTTTCAGACAGACTTTTAAGCGAATGCATCATAGAAACTGTATCTTGTAAATTATCTGCGATTAATACAACATCATCTGCAAATCTTAGGTAATTTAATCTTTCTCCATCTATATTTATGCCCATATCTTGCCATTGAGTGCTCTTAAATATTGACTCTAGAGCTGCCGTGAACAATTTTGGTGAAATATTGTCTCCTTGTCTAACTCCTCGACCTAAGCTGAATTTTTCTGTGTCTTCGTGTAGTCGTATACTTGATGTAGCGTTCTCGTAGATGTTTTTGATTAGTGTCGTGTACCTGTAATCTATTCGGCTTTGATTTAGGGCTTCCAGTATTGTTTCAAACTCTACAGAATCAAAAGCCTTTTCGTAATCGACAAATGCAAGAACCAGTGGTATGTTGTACTCGATGCACTTTTCTATTAAGATCTTTATGGTATGCAAGTGGTCATTTGTGCCATATCCTGCCCTGAAGCCTGCCTGTTCTTTGGGCTTATAGAAATCAAGTTTAGGTGTTAGCCTCTTTGTTAAGATTTTCATAAAGAGTTTGTACATACGTGTGAAGAGGCTGATGGGTATATAATTTTCTAATTTAGTAATATCGCCTTTTTTGTGTAACAAGACTATTACTGCATTGTTCCAGTCTTTTGGAATCGTACGAGCATGTAAGCATTTATTAAACAGTTCGCTTACAGATTTTAATAAAATTTCTCCTCCTGCTTTTATTGCCTCGATAACGAGTCCATCATCACCAGGCGATCGATGGTTCTTCATTTCCTTTAAAGCTGCTCTTATTTCTGACACAGTAATGGGTAAAAGTATTTCCGATCCCTGATTTATGAGAGTCTTTACTCGTGTCGGGAAATTGTCTTGTGGTCTTTGGCTGGTATAGAGGTCTTTATAAAACGCTCTGGTTATTTTCAGAATGTTTTGTTTATCTGTTGTTGCCTTTCCGTCTTTATTTCTCAGCTTGTATATTTCTTTTTTACTTTGTGTGAGTTTTGTTTTCATTATCTTTAAACCTTTGTTCTCTTCTACTGTTTGAGTAATTACATTAGTATTATATCTTCTTACATCTTTTCTAATTTCCGCTGAAATTCTTTTATTTAGTTTTCTATATTCTTCTTTGTTTCCCTTTTCATTCTCGCTTAGGTTTCGTCGTATTTTCATGAGAGCTTTTGTATTTTTGCTAATCTTTTCACTTTTGGTGTCATTTTTTTGCAAAATTTGAGTTGTGCATTTCTAACCGAGTCTGTTATTAATTTATTGTGATCGTCAATACTTAGAGGTTTGGGATTATTACTCTGTAAAGTTTCGGCTATATTTTTATGTATGCTTCTGGATGATTTGGTAAATTCCAAACTATGCGTTTGCAACTGTTTGCAATCTACAAAAAGAAAGAGCAAAATCTTTGCTCTTTCTTTTTGTAGATTTATCGTTACTCTAGCTCTTACTGGTCTGTGGTCGCTTCCTACTGATAGTTTATTGAGTACAGTGACATCTTACTTAGTTCTTCCGTCTGGACTAGCCCACGTCCATTTTCTATTCTGTTTCTTCTTAAAAAAGGTGTTTATTGCATACAGTTTGTGTTGCAGTAGGAAGTTGGTAAGCATTTCGCCTCTTTCGTTTCTGACCCCGATTCCAAAATCTCCGATTGCCATTTCTTGTTCGTCCTTTTTCATTCCAAGTTTCCCGTTAAAATCTCCCATTATCAGATTGTAATGAGCCGGTTCCTGCTTTTCTGCTCTTTCGATTTCCTTATAGAAGGCTTCGACAATTTTTTCTTCGTAATCGCTGGTGGGAGCGTATACCTGGATTATTTTCAGATTGTATCTCTTATTTAGTCTTAGATTTATATACATAACTCTTGGGAAAATACAGTCAATGCTCTGTTTATTCTAATAATATCATACAACCTATAAAATCCAATCTAAGTTGAAAAAGTTCGCAAAATTACACACTTAGGAATAGTCATAACGGACCAACTAGATCCAGACGTGTATGAAACAAAAGTGTGATGACAAGGGAAACTAACGAGGAACTCTTACAAAGATAAAAAATTACCAAAAACTGTAAAATACTGTAGACACCTAAAAAAACGAAAAATATCAGAAAATATAAACTAAAATTTTAGGTAAACAGTAGGTAAGTGAAGAAAATCTTCGCTTAAACGCTTAGTACAGGAGACAATACAAATATCAGGTAGTAATGGAATATTTCACGAAAAAGTTCTTTTTCGTCTTTCTCTTCATAAGCAATTCTGCTTGTTCATTGGCGGATTAGTATATCTATGGAAGGTTGTCACTTCATCTTTTGCGCGGTCGTCCGAGAATGACTTCTCTTTCGATCTCTCAGCGCATTTCCTGTAATTCTTCTTTTTTCTCTCAGATCTGCCGTTTCCAGTAGCCTTCGCGTTGTGACAGTGTTGGGTCTTGTTTGTGAGGCATATGTCATTATTGGTCTTACACTGGCTTTATAAATTCTTGACTTCATCTCAGTGTTAATGTGTCTGTTTCGCTATATAGTGCTATTATTAAGTTCGCATAGAAGTTTATTACAGAAAATTAATATCTTTTAAATTGTAGTAAAAATCGATTAGAGTGACATTTAATTTTAAAATTTTCACAGGTGTACGTCACCGCAATAGCCGCGGTAGCATATGCCCGGCCAGGCGGTGATTACGAACACTTGGAATTGGCTGGCGGTTACGAAGATGGTGGACATTTCGGAGGCCATGAAGCTACCAGCTACTCGCACGGTGGACTAATAGCTAACGAGATTGGCCACGGTGACGAAGGACATCATGAGGAGCACGTCGACTACCATGTAAGCAAACTTTTGTAGAGAAATATAATATCCTGCTTTACGCTTAGGCCGTTATTAGACTAGGCAACTGGTGGCGCCACCAAGTTGCTCCACTAGTTACTCAGTGCGTCACGGGGCATTTAAGTAAATGCGACCCATTAGACTACGGCAACTGGTTGCGCCACCAAAAATTGTTGTCGTTCTGGTGACCGATTTCAGCCACCAGACGGGTAACATGATCTGGTGGCGCCACCGAACTGGGGCATTATGTTATATGTACCCTAGTACTTATTAGACAAAAGCAACTAGTTGCGTCACCAATAGTTCATTTGTATATAATCGAATAATATTTTTTCTATATCCAAGCAAGAAATCAAAAATAATGTATTTTAATTTGTGTTTTGATAACTAGTTTTATAATAGAAATCAAAAATATAAGTTATTTTTAACTAAAATTGTCGTTTATAGCTATGTTGAAATATAGTTAATAGTAATATAAACAATATTTATGTATGTACGTATACATTATTAGAGATAATTTTTAAATTTATAAAGAACTTTTTTTGTTGATATAAATATAGTCATAATCATCGGAGGCATGTTCTTCGTTTCTATTCTCTTCTATCCAATTCTCTTGGCCTTTCCAAAGTTCTTTTATCTATTTATTTATGTCTATAATGTGTTTATATATATATATATATATATATATATATATATATATATATATATATTTATATATTATATATATATATATATATATATATATATAATCTGGTCTATAAATGTTTCCTTGGTCTTCTCTTTCTTCTCTTAACATACCTTTCGATTACATTACCTACTTTGTTATTTTCCTTTGGCCAATTTTATTGATCAGTATCGGTTTAGTTTCGTTTTTGGAATTTTTGTTACTAGCAATACCTATTTTAGGTCACCTCAGATTTGCCTTTAGCGGATTGTCTATTGTTATATTGTTGACCTATGTTTCAGTTATTTTTTAGTAAACTACATTTTTACCATTCAAATATTATAAACATAGTTTTTTTTTAGAATTAAAGAAAGCTGAGGAACTCTAGCACATTAAATTTTAAAACATTGCAAGCCACTACCATTTTTTCGTCAATTGGAATATATTTGTATTCCATGTACTTGGAGTACATTAAACATGACGTATGTCATCTTTAATGCACTCCGAGAACTCAAAAAATGACAATTTTAACATTCGAAAATACGGGAAAAATTTTAGTTCGTCCGCTTAAAGTTCAGGAAATAACATATAATAACCATAATAATGTAATGTATATAACGTATAATAACATATACATTATATGTATATAAATTTTCCAACTCCTTCTTACTCTCCCTTTCTTTTATAATAAAAGGGCAAGAAGAAATAACGAATTGTTTGATATCATTTTCTTAACTAAACAATATTAACTATTCACTACTAAACGTATTAATTTTTGCTGGTGGCAATTATCGGCCACTAGTTGCCCATAATTTTTTGTGCGTTAATTTGGTGGCGCCACTAGTTGCGCCACCAGTTGCGCCACCAGTTACCTAGTCTAATACCGGCCTTTAGTATTAAATTAAATTTAGTATTGCAAAATCTTATTAAACTGAAGATCTGTTTAGATCTCTGTCAAATCGTTGGTCACTGGTTCTTTTTCAATTTGCTTATTTTGTATTCATCTAGAATACTGTATAAGTGCATCTGACCTGTAATATACAACCAGTAAATTTCAATTTAAGTAATACATTGTTTGTGGAGTGTTGACAGTATTGCCATAGTTTGTTTATCAAATATTTATAGAAATTAAGCTCACATTTTTTCGTATTACTATTTAAATATTTTCTGTGTATGTTTATTAATAAGCTATTCTTATCGTAGAGAAGTAAGCTCTGTTCACTAAATTAAAAAATACCATCAGATTTTCTTTATCGGCTCCTCCAAACATGTAAGTATCGTCTGTATTTGGGTAAAAGGAGACACCAGAAACCTAAATATTATCGACCAATTTCACTTTTTTCACAACTTTACAAATTCACAAAAATTATTACAAACAGGTTTACAATTAAATGTGACAGTTATCAACCAGTAGAATAAGCCGGATTAAGAAAAGGGTACAGCACCTGTGACCATCTATATGCTTTGAAAATCCTCATAGAAAAGACTAACGAATACACGTTCCCATTATATCTGGCTTTTATAGATTATAAAAAAGCTTCTAATAGTGTAAAACTGTAGGCAATAGAAAAAACATTAGTCAACAACCGGATCGACTTTAGGTACAGAATATTAATACATAATATTTACGAACAAGCTGAAATGATAGTGACTTTGGGTAATGGAAACACAATATCTCCAAAATTATTTACAGCTGCCCTATAAAATATAAGTCAATAGACTGGGAAATATAAGAAAATATCTATTAACGGAAGATACTTGAACCATCTTAGATACGCAGAGGAGGTAGTACTTATAACCGACACGTGAAATGCACTGAACACGATGACTGAATGACTACTATCAGAATTCCTAACAAAAGGACTGAAAATGAATTTTAGAAAACCTAAACGAATGTCAAAGATGACAAACTTATGATAAACGTCCAAGGAACAGAGATCGTACACGTAGATGAATATACATATTTTGATTACAATGTCAAGGTACGCAAAGAAAATCAGATTACCGAAATAAATAGACATATAAAAATGGGATGCAAACCACTTAAAGACTGCAAACCAAAGTATTTAATTCCTGTATCCTACCGGTACTTACATATAAAGTTCAAACCTGGACATTCACTATAATAAACATGAAGATCAGAAAAACTCAGAGAGCTATGGAACGATAGATGCTGAGTATCTCACTCAAAGACCATAAAATGAATGAAGACAATTATCATAAAACAAAAGTAAAATATCTTTAAAGTCTTAAGAATGGTCGATGAAATAAAGAAATCGGGAATTGGCGGTTATATGCAGCCAAAAGTCCACGAGGAAGACCGCAAAACAACAGAGACGAATGGCGAGAATTAGGAGAGGCCTATATTCGGCAATCCAAATAGAGAGAATGTCTTAAAAAAATAGTTATACAGTTATACTTAAATATTGGTTTCAATATAGTCTATACCTAATTATACTTAATATGTCTATACTTAAATGTTGGTTTTAATATAGTCTATAAAAACATAACCAAAAGAAATTCTTAGTCATTATATATATATATATATATATATATATATATATATATATATATATATATATATATATATATATATATATATCCTATTTGTTTTGGTATCTTTCGTTGATGTTTTTATCCTGCTGAAAGATTTGAAGAAAATAATCACTAAAGAAGCGTGATTAGACAACGTCAGAGCTGGCTCTGACGTAGTCTAATCAGGAAGTCCGAAGATTCGATCACTTTTTTCAATATTTGTCGCCGTATATCGGCAATAACGCGGCGAATATTGCCCTTCAAGTGGCCAATAGATTCATGCTTATCAGCGTAGACTAGCCCCTTCACATATCCCCATATAAAATAGTTTGGCAGTGTTAAATTCTAGGATCTTGGAGGCCAAGTCATGGTCCGAAATGTGAAACTGTGCGGTTACCAAACGCGTCCTTCAATAAATCAATTGTGGCACGAGCTGTGTGACATCTTGCGCCGTCTTATTGAAACGACAGCTCCTCTACATACTGGTTGTTCAATTGGAGAATGAAAAATGCAGTAATCATGGCTCTATAGCGGTCACCATTGAGTGTAACGTTCTGGCCAGCATCGTTTTTGAAGAAGTACGCTCCAATGATTCCACCAGACCATAAAGCACACCTAACAGTCAGTTTTTCTGCATGTCATAGCTTTTTAACACACATTTAAGGATTATCTTAACTCCGAATAATACAGTTTTGTTTGTTGACCCAGCCATTCAACCAAAAGGTAGCTTCATCGCTTAAGAGAAATTCACTTATGAAAATCGGACCAATCTCGTTTTGGACCCACTTACCGAATATACCAATCTACGCCTTGTCAATTATTACATAAATTCGATTTTGTAAGCACACAAAGTAAGATCTTTCCGCAAAATCTTCCATAAAGTCGATGGACACGTATCCAACCGATGTGCATGATGGTAGATATACTGATTCGAGTCTTCCTGTATGCTAAGCCCTACAGCAGCAACAACTTCTATTATATGCACTGTATAATATCTCTGCGGATGCATATTATCATTTAGAGTAAACGTGGTGCAAAAGCGTTCGATGGTTAATCGAATTACTTGCTCCGGTGGACTAAAAAAACATCCTTCAAAAAACCTGTTAAGAACTAACACAATTTGGTTTTAGAAAGTTCTGGGAACAAGACATACTCTATTAAGCATACAACTACTATTTTAAATATGTGGAGATATGAACTGTAATAATATATATATATATATATATATATATATATATATATATATATATATATATATATATATATATATATATATATATATATATATATATATACGTGCTTCATTAATTATCAAAAAGCATTTGATAAAGTTTAACACCACAAAATGACGAAAGTTCTGCAAGATAGTGGAATTGACGACAAGGACCTGAGTAAAAATGCAATCACTAAAAAAAATTGTTGAACGATTCATAACATATCTGGGTACAGTACATTAAATGAATAGTAGGGCCATTCTCAGGTTATAAAATCAAAAATTTGAAGAACCAGAGTAGCTTTTTTCCAAATGTTTTACATCTTGTTGTAATCAGCAACAAAAAAAAAAGATGCTTTCGAGAAGTGGACTTGAAATAATGAATTGAAAATTGAAATATTTGAGTCTCATATTAAAAAAAAAACCAAATATAAACTATTAAAATGCATTATGTAAGAAAAAGGTCAAGCTAAGAGAGTTAAGATTAATACCGTGGCTAAAGAACTTAGGAACTTGGTTTACAAGATTTACCACGGAACTATTCATAGCAGCAATAAATAAAAATAATCATTGTCAGAATGATTTCTA